CTAGGAAAAACAGGAAATAAATCTTTGAAGAAACTATCCTTTCGGTGCATCACGGCTTAACACCTCGTAACATATCAACTGAAGCCTTACGGGGGACGGAATTTGTGGCTTGCTAATAATATGGTGCTTTGATTATAACCTTGCGATCCTCCTTGCTAACAGCTTACGTGCAAAAACTCAACTGAAACTTACGAGACAAAACTTGGCAAAACTAAACTTACTGGGATTGATACGCTGATGGCCCTGCTGAATGTGATTGTTCAATCCCGCAATTGTCTTATATCGTTTCGGGCACTGATTACATTTATATGGGCGAACACTGGAAGCAGTACTGTTTAACAAGAGTCAATTTTAAGAGATTCAAGTGATTTCGACAGTATTCTTCCCCTTTTTGGAGTTTCATTAATTGTTCTTCCTATTTTCATACATATATGTATACATACCATGTAGATGTATATATATAGGTAAGGTATATATATATATATATATATATATCAAGGTAAGGTATATATATATATACGTTATATATTTGTATATATGCATGTACTCGAATGTAATGAAAGAGGGATTTGATGCATCCGGAATTTTTCTGTTTCGAAATCCCAGTAAAATACTTCAGTCTTAGCTCTTAGCAAAGGTTAAATTCAAACATTGCAAAATTTTTTGTTAAATACTTCGCGCTTCTCCCCGATGAGCTGCTCTGGGCAACAGTTGCAAGAGCTTGTCCAGAAACACCAGCTGTTAAATCGAATGGTACGGCACCACATGCAACTGCTTCGTCGGTGGAGCCATGCGCCTGGCGCGTGTGAGCACGTACTCCCTGTAGATTTTTGTAGCGTTTGTTGCATCCCTCAACGGGGCACTTATGGCGCTTCTCTTCTTCCCTGCATTTTTTTTAATGAATAAGCACTAAAAATAAACTTGCACATAAATCTTTTTATAAAACAATGCTTTTGCGAAAGTTGAGAGTTCGACTGCGCCGACGGAACAGCCCCTTCCAATGGTAAATTGATACTGGTAAATGCCACGGAGACAAACCCGCCGACAGCTTGTTTTTAAGCGATTTTCGAAAAAGGAGCCATCAGAGACCTTGCCAGTGGGTATTTGCTCCTGACATGTGCTACCGATCAGACTAATTCCAAAGGTTTCTTGTCTCTTAAAAAGTGAGTAAGGAGGGGACGGGGCAAAGGGGGTTGGCGTCCTGCAAAAACTATCGATAAAGCTTCCATAAAGAGCAAACCGGCAGAGACTTTGAACAGCGCTAATTAGAACTGGCAGATTCGATACGTTAGTAATCAACGCTATAAGTTTTGAAGAATTTACCCTTGCTCCACGTCCTCGACGACTTCTTCGTTTTTGAAGGAATCACGTGATTCCTCGTCTTGATCTAAATGTATTTCTGTATTTGCCATGTAGTGATTATGAACAGTTTAAAAGGCTAAAAAATGAAAAAAAAAAATGAAAATGATGGTGTTCACACCCCACAAACAAGTTGATGAAGTAGTCCGAACACATATAAATGCACAGAAGGCCGCCACACTAAGACTTCGGCTAATTTGCAAGTATGTCAGAAGTTG